CTAAGCAAAATCAGGAGCGAACGGTTATCAGTAACGATGATGATAGGATTTCGTTTGCTAAGGCATTCGCGGACGATGATCCCCCCAAATGGTTGGAAGCCCTTGAAACTACAGGACAGGACGCGTCGACAGATCTCAGTGAAGCTCGACACGCTGAGCGAGGAGGTCAAAGAGGCGAAGGAGGGGGCGCGACAGGCACTCCAGAACACCACCGAGCTAAACGATAAGGTTGACGAGTTCTAAGTCGAGATCGATTCTATCAAGGTGGACCCCGACGATATGTTCGTCACAAGGGAGGGCGCGAGGGAGGATGTGGAGAAGATCGTAAAGGGAAGGGTCAAAGAGGTAGTGAAGGACATCATGAACGAGGATGTGGATGGGGTGGTTGATAAAGTAAGGAGTTGTCCATGGGTGTCGATGGGAGGCCAGATAAGCAGTACGTACCCCGGAACAGGATCAGGAAAGGGGGCAGTGATACAGGAGCAGCGTTCCAGGACAGTGTATGTTGGACAATTCCCAGGACCTGACAAAGTGAGTTCATTAAACAACATGTGCAGGATGGGACAGCGGACCATTCGGTGGAAGAGATTTTACCTTCTGGGTACTACTCAACAAGAGGAGCAGCTCGTTTCAGGACGGAGGACAGCATGTGGGAATATATCGTCAAGAACCGGGGTAACTGCAAGCGCGAGGTTATGTGGGCAACTGTGTACGCGAACCCCGACGTCATGCATGGCAAGAACCCAGGAAAGACGAAAGGGGTCAGGAAAGTAGTCAGGATGAGCATCGAAAGCGGGAGGGGCAAGACAGACATCGAAACGAACTACCCCGGAGGGAAGGTTTGATGGAAGGGCGCCACGGTCGCCGAGTGGGACGCTAACGTTGGCAAGATGATCTTGAAGGGCGAGGCGGTAGAGTACCAGAGACAACCTTCTGGCAAAGAAGCAGGAGCAGGGTTCAGCGTTCGACATGGCGGTGCCTAGAAGCAAGGGAGGGGGGCTTGGAAAGTATGACGCAGTGGATGGTGATTCGCCGTTGCGTTTGCAACGTGGTCCTTACCATCTTCAGCACTCTTGTGAAGATCACATGGGCAATGCTAGTTTCACCACTGCCACGTGCAGTGGTCATTTTTTTATGTTGTTTGATGATTGCGTGGGCCGTTGTTTAGCCGAGCTTGAGGGTCACAGTTGGGGTATCATTGAATTTACGGAGACTTGGAGAGATGAACTCGAAAGAGGCATGGGATACGAAGCGTGGACATCACTGGTTTGGGAGCGGGGGGGCATCTCGAAGTTGTGGCGTTGGTTTCCTCTTGCGTCGACGCTGGAATAACGTGATGTTCAAAGCGGTCTCCAACCGCGTTGCTATCTCGGACGTTTGCGATATCTTCTCGAGTCGCGTTCGTTTCATGGCCGTGTGCATCCCACGCGCTGGACAGGCAAATGAAGAGGTGGACGCTGTGTATGCCCAGGTTAGCAAGGAATGCCATGATGCACGGAGAAAGGGTTACAGGATTGTGATTGCTGGGGACATCAACGCGGAAGTCGGCGCCTGACAGGAAGAAGACGATCACAAGGTGACGGGTCAAAACTATGATGCTGACAGCACAGACAGAGGGTGGTTATTAATACAAACATGCACGGTGCAATCGCATGTTACCGCAAAGGTTTCTTTCCGGCAGGAGCAGGGTCGTCTTGGGCCTTCCGCAATGGCGAACGACATTCGCAACTTGATTGCAGATTGCTAGACAGACGGATGTTTGCAATGGGGTTTCATTGTCATGTAGCTGCCGGCGTGGATACCGGTTCTGATCGCCAGCCGGCGCGGAGCTCGCCTTGCCAGACGACGCCCCAAAGAGGCGGCGAATGAAACGGGCGAGACGGGCGAAACCATGGCGACCACGCAGAAGCTATCCATATTTGTTGGAACGCCATTTGTCTGAAGTGCCGCGGCAAGAATGCAATGTAGCAGAGTGCATCATCAATTTGAATCGTTGCCTGGCCAAGGCAGCCGCTGAGGATGTGCAGCGAATCCTGGCGACCGACAGCGCGCCCGATCAGCTGGACAGAGATCCTCGAAACCGTCGCCCCATCGACGCTCGGCGGGCCATTGCGCATTCAGATCTCCCTACCGCGGAAAAGAACTCGTTGGGACTCAGCATTGGCAAGGAAATGCCATCTTTGATTCGCAATCGCAAGTTGCCCGAACAAAACTTTCAAATCTGAGGAGATGCGGCGTGCATTCCGCGATGTCAAGCCGATTCCTTCGATTATGAGTGGGGGAATCACATCAATGAAATGAAGGACAGCAGTGGCGACCCGGCACGTGAGAGACAGGATGTCGCCGATGCCTTCGCGCAGTTTTGCGAGGACCTGTGCGCGAGCACCCGGCCAGAGCACTCGCCGAACACATATTTTGGGGTTGGCGTCAACCGCGCGCCGCCGTTCAGCATGGAGGAATTGGAAGCAGTTCGGCAACTGAAATTGCGCGCGCCTGCCGACGACAACGGGGTGACAGCAGAAATCGTCAAGATTGATTCCCCAGTCTTGCGAGATTCATTGTTGGACGCATTCAATGAGCTTGTGAAGCCAGCTTCGGGCTTGCCCTGTGGCTGTCTTCGAGCGCGCATCACAGTGCTTTGTTAGAAGGGGGGCTCTGGTGTTCCTTCCAATTACCGGCCACTTGCGATTTTGGAGATGTTGTACAAGCTGTTCAGCACAATGTTATGCGGGTGACTCGGCCCTACCATCGCGAGAGAGCAGTCGGCGGTTCCGTCTGCGTGCCGACATGTGTGCGGAGACACAGGCCACTTGCTCACTACTACGCTGTTGGTTGAGGCACGTAACGAGTGCAGCGCGCCGCCGTGGATCTGCGTGGTCGATGTCGAGAAGGCGTTCGACACAGTGGAACATGGCAGTTTGTGGGGGGCACTGGCAGGGCAGAGCGCGGGCCTGAGTACATTCATTTGCTGAAGCGTTTGTATGCCAAACAGCCAGCTTGTATCATGGCCAGGGTGCTGCAGTCAGAATGTTTGACAGATCGCGTGCTGCCAGACAAGGCGGTCCGATCAGTTCTTCCTCATTCGTTGTCGTTATGGAGGCCATTTCCAGGAAGCCCAAGCTGTGTTGGGAGCGCTCGATAAGAAAGCGCACCAGATCGTATTGCGGCATGGTCATCGACAGCACTGCAGACCCCCTTTCACCAACCCCAGATTCGTTGATGATGTGTTGCTGGTGGAATCATTTGCCAGAGACGCATCGCAAATGCTTGTGGATCTGGAGACAGGCCCGCATATACGGTCTCAGAGTACACATGGGCTAAACAGTCCTTCTGACGAACATCGTCAGGAGGCCAGCAACTGTACGTTGTGGGGGCATGCTTCGCGGGTGCTTCATCACGGTGAGTCTGGGAAGTATCTGGGTCGCAAATGTTATGTTCATTCTTTTCTTGACACAGAGCTGCGCCGCATAACTGCGTGAGGTGGGGCAGCACCCGCGAAACACAAGTTCACACTGCGCAACTGGTGTATCAGACTGAAGTATCGCACGCGGTTGTTTCAAGCGTCTGTTGCGCCGCGCGTTCTGCACGGCTCCGTGGCGCGGACACTTACGACGGAACAGCGGCTCCGAATGATTGTTGGGGCTCAGAGGCGCCATGGCGAATGTTGGGTCGACTAAGTCAAGCGCTCCACCACTGCCGCTCTGGACCTCGCAGAACATTTTGGCGTGCATGATTGGGCGCGTGATTTTCATCGCATCAGACAGCATGCCCGGGAAAATGTGCCAGCGTATAGCTGGGGCAAACCAGTCTGCCCTACGGGATCTCTCTCTTTCTCTCTCTCTCTCTGTATCCTTCCGGTGTTTTTTCGGGTGAGGTGCCCCTCCCGGGATTCGAACCTTTACAGTGGAAATTATCGTGCCTCAGATTGGGCGGTCGGCCCCCAGTTTATAACAACAGCGGTTCAGGCCTGATGCTTCCACGCAATTTATTTAAAATAGCGCTTTCGCGCTGGATTTCCTTCCATATCCACCAAATAGATGCGCCCGCGTGGGACGTCCGCGCGATTCATTGTGACGCCGCGCCCTCGAGACTCAGGAATCACGCTCTCGCTTTGGACGCCCTCACGATTTACTCGTGAATTGCCTTATCGTTCGAGATTTCCTTGCGACTTATGCAGGACTGACGCTTCAGTGACACGCCCGCCCGGCCCCCCCTGTCAGGGTCCGCTCGCCCGACCCACCCGTCTGGTTCAGCCGTTTGTATTCCTGCTCCTACCCCCTCTCCTGCAAATCTCTCTCGTGTTCCTTGTCCGTCCCCTTTGTCCATTCCTCCTCACTCCCTTCTTCTCTTCTCGGGGCGGCGCCATCTACGCGTGGCAGGTGAGAAAAATTTGCCCCGAAACGGGGGTACGATCGAAGACGATCATTCATGCGTGTGGTTGCCATTTGTTAATGTTTTGCCGGTGCACCGGCTGGGTTCGGTTTCTGTGTGTGAGTGCGTGTGAGAGACAAAAAGGCCCCTTTCGAGAGGCCCTGCTGCCTTTCACCCTCTTGGCTACACGCTCTTCCCCAGACCCCTCCGACTTCATGTTTTGTTTTCGCGACGTGGGCCCCAGAGATTTCGACCCCTAGCTTTTCGTCTGATGAAAAGGCAGAGTCCCAGGGCTTTGCTCTAGTATGTAGGCATGTCCTCAGGAGTTTGCTGGGCGCACGTGACGGGGTTCGGCACCAGCGGAGCTCAGCCAGAACGCTAGATCCTGCAGGATCCTGCATCATCAAACTTTGGTTGAGCCAGGTTTGGAAGACGCTTTCGGCCCTGGAGGTGGCCGAGCAAGAAGCCCCTTCCAAAACAAACGGCAGCGCGTTTTTTTATCGGCTGAGCTGGGTTTGCGCTGAGCCTGGTGATTTCACGCCCGTCCTGTTTTGGCGGTCGAATGGCAACAACCGTTCGCCGTCTGTGCTTCCCGACGCGAGGGGGACTGGGAGTCTGCGCCCGCCGAGGCGAGCTGCCACCACCCCCGGCGCCGATGTTCCAGCAGCAGCAGCAGCAGGGCATGGACCAGGGGCAGCCTGGCAGGTCAGGGGCAACGTTCGGGCGGGATGTCGACCACGCGCACAAGGGGTCAGGGGCAGGGGTAAAGGCTTCTTAGAAGCACCCCTGCTTCTTAGAAGTCGCTGCCCCCTTTGTGCGCGCCGCCAAGGATGGCCTCAGGGGGCGCAGTCAGGTCGCACAGTAAGGACGAGCAGCTTTCCAAGACTACCCTGGCATCCTTGTCCCTTCGGCCCATTCTTGGCGACGTTGGCTTGCCAGCCCCGTTCGGAAACGCCAACATGGCCCTCGAAGACCCTCGCATCTCTACCGCACATCGTTAGTGTGCGACTTGACTGTGACGCATCGACCCCCAATCGCCTATACGTCGCCGATAAGGGCCAGATTGCCCACACCGCCAGGAGCGTGCGGATTCGCTATCGGGGGCCTATTGCCGATTCATCGGCGGTGCATCGCCGATTCCACGTCGATGTTTTACTCTCCTGAGCCGGTCCCTCCCTAACGCTCCCCCTCGGCAGGGTCACGGGACGCGTCACCTACTCGCGCTTGCTGGAGTTCGTGGACGAGGGCTCCGTGAAGCGGCCCCTGGCATCGTCTAACCTATTCCTCCCCCACACTGAGCCATGGCGTCTCTGCCCCATCAGCCCACCCTCTTAGGTGGGGATGGGCCCCGCGAAACCCGAAGGAGCAGGCATATATCTCCACCTAGGCGGGTAAGTCGGCCAGCGGGGCCAGGGTCACGCCAAAGGGGATGGTTAGGGTGCAACTCGAGGTTCAGTTCAGCATCAGCGCTGGCATATCCGTAGTTGGCAATCAGCCAGGTCCAGCCTAATGCGACCGAGCCCCGCTTAATTTTATTCGTTCCAGCTCGATCCCGCTGAATCGAGCCTTATCCTGGGCCGAATCTTGCGTAATCTGGCATCATGGCCCCTTCATCGGGCTTACTACCCTTGAATCGTTCTCACGAATCACGAAGACCTACCTGGAGCTGCTTCCTTCTAGGGCTCCCAGATGGGTCGGAGCAGATAGGGTCGGAGGATTCCACCGCATCGCCGATGCATCGGCGATGCGGCTTGGTGTGGAGCCCATCTTGTATTCTACTGGCATCGCTGATGCATCGCCGACGTCTTTGGTGATGCATCGGCGATGCGGCGCGACCCTCCGACCCCATCTACTTGGGCCCAATCTAGGAGGCCTCCCCAGACATGCGATTTCCTGTTTTATCACCGGGTCCCCGGAATTCCCGACTCCTTCCCAGGGACAGGTTTTTCATGACGAGTCGTTCTTTGACGGTCCTGGGGCCCGGCGGAGGCTCCAAGAGGCCGAAAGCAACAACACACCTAGTGGCTATGGATCGGTCAAGTGATGCCCAGGGTCGACCTCTACGACATGGGGCGCACGGGCATCGCCACTGTCTCCGTCGGCGGGCGCCAGCAGCAGCTCTCGTGCGACCTGCCAGGGGCGACCGCGGGCCTGCTCGAGAAGCTTGCCGCGAAGGGGGTTCAGATCGACGTGCACGCCCCCGAGAAGCCCAACGAGTTCCTGAAGGTGCTCGGCGACGTGGCCCTCCCTCGAGACCCGTTTTTTCACCCCCCTGGCGATAGCTGGTGTGATCAGGGGGGGGGGGGCGGGGGAGGGGGGGCGGGGGGATGGGGGGGGGAGGGGGCTGTTCATGTTACGATTCGCGCCGGGGAGGGGGGGCGGGGGGGGGAGGGGGCTGTTCATATCACGATTCGCGCCGGCGCCGTCTGGGAATGCTCAAGAACGGCTCATTCCCAGACGGGGCCGGCGCGAATCGTGACGTGACCAAGTGGGGGGTGGCAAGGGGGGAAGGTGCGGGGCCAGTCGTTGGTGTCTTCGCAAACAATAAACAAAGCGGCTCGTGTTCGGCGACGTGGCCTTCTTTTTGATCTCTGGGATCGGCGCTGGGCCCCTCCGCGCGCCCAGGAGGGGTCCAGCGCCGATCCAAGGAATCCGCGCGGACCCCCTCGAATCGATGTTTCTGCCGATCTTTGTTCCCCTTAAGGTGCTCGGCGACGTGGCCTTCCCTCTGCTCATCATCGGCGGCCTGCTGTTCTTCCGGAGCCAGTCGGGGGGTCGGGGGGGCATGCCCGGGATGCCGGGCATGCAGCAAAAGAAGGAGGTCCAGCTGACCCCGAACACCGGCGTGGCGTTTGCGGACGTGGCAGGCATCGACGAGGCCAAGGAGGAGCTGACCGAGATCGTCGACTTCCTGAAGGCGCCCGAGCGCTTCGTGAAGGTGGGCGCGAAGATCCCGAGGGGCGTCCTGCTGACGGGACCACCTGGCACGGGCAAGACGCTCATGGCCAAGGCGTTGGCGGGCGAGTCCGGGGTTCCGTTCATCCAGTCGTCGGCTGCAGAGTTCATCGAGCTCTTCGTCGGTGTGGGTGCCTCGCGGGTCCGCGACATCTTCAAGCAGGCGAAGGAAAACTCCCCGTGCATCGTTTTCATTGACGAGATTGACGCCATTGGCCGTCAGCGCGGCTCCGGCATGGGCGGCGGGAACGACGAGCGGGAGCTCCGGAGGAAGAGGAAATTGTACTGAGACCGCTGCCCTTCCTTCGTTTTCTTCGCCTTGTCGAGCCTTCTAGGAGGCCCTCGTCATCACGGCTGGAGTCGCCCCGAAAGTCTAATCAGAACACGCCCCTTGAGAGGTATGGGGGGCAGCAGGGGAAAAAACATTGACATAGGCATCCACTTTTGAAGGCCAGCGCGGATTCCTTGGATCGGTGCTGGATTCCCTCCCCTCCCTGGCGCGCGGAGCGCGCCAGGAGCGGCGCCAGAGGGTGCCGCCAGGGGGCCGCCAGCGCCGATCCGATAAATCCGCGCGGACCTCCGACAGTTTATATTTAAGCCAGTATTGAGGGCACGTTCAAGAACCTCATGCTCTGAGCGTGCTCCTTTCCCCTTCCGAGCGCTCTTCCCTTTCCTTCGCCTGCTGTGCTCAATTAGGCCCCGTAGTGTCCCTCGGCTGCTTTCGAACGCGGTATGAATCCTCGCCTCTGCGACTAAAACAGCTTCTGTCGTTCTTTGTTCCCGAATAGAGGCATCGGTACCTTTTCGATCCGCCAGGAGCAGACCCTGAACCAGATCCTGACCGAGATGGACGGGCTCGCTCGGCAGCAAAACATGGGAGTCGTGTATGCCCTGGCAATTCCGTCTCTAGGGTGCGATCGCTTCGATGACAGCCTGGTACATCGATGCAGTAGCGCCGAACTGGCGCCGATTGGCGTCGATTGGCGTCGACCTGACATCGGCTTTGCGTCGATCAGCGTCGATTCGCGAGAGCCAGCAACATGGCCTGGGAGGCTTCCGTGAGTTGCCTCCGAAGGTTCGAGGGCAACAGCGGCGTCATCGTCGTCGCGGCCACCAACCGCTCGGACATCCTCGACAGCGCCCTCCTGCGGCCGGGGCGCTTTGACCGCCGCGTGCAGGTGGACCTGCCCGACGTCAAGGGGCGGGAGCAGATCCTTAACGTGCACCTGCGCAACAAGAAGTTGGACGAGGGGATCAGCATTGGCGAGATCGCCAAGCGCTGCGCCGGGATGAGCGGTGCCGACCTCGAGAACCTGATGAACGAGTCTGCCATCCTCGCGGCCCACGGAAGAGCGAACCTCTAGGCCTCCCAGATGGGGCTTGGGTAGATGTGGTCGGAGGATCGCGCCGCATCGCCGGTGCATCGGAGATGCGGCTCGATGTGGAACCAGCAGCTTTTCACGCTGGCGTCGTCGATGCATCGCCGACGCCAGCGATGCATCGCCGATGCATCGCCGATGCATCAGGGATGCGGCACCATCCTCCGACCCCATCTGCTCGGACCCTGTTTGGGAGGCCTCCAGAAACTGACCAGCTCCGCCCAGCCTCCACAGGCCGAAGGTCCGATTCGAAGCCAGCCCCGGGTCGGCATCGGGCCCCCTGGGCCGCGCAGCTGCAGGGAGCCTGGGCCGAAAGTAGGCCTGCAGAGGCTTGGTTCGGCGGCGAGCGAGGGGGGGGGACGTGAGAAGTGGAAGGCCTTCTCAGAAGGCGGCGGGACTTCTCAGAAGCCCTCGCGCCTTCGGAGAAGTTTTCTGTGTCTTCGGGGTCGGCTTAGGACACTTCTCAGGAGGCCTGGGTGTTTCCGAGCCTTCTGAGAAGGCCCGCCCCTTCTCACTTCCCCCCGGGCGCGCCGCCTAATGGTGGCACGGGTCGGCTTGCTGGGTCAGCCGCAGGTGCGCTAAGTAAGGTGGCCGCGTTTCGCCGTTTGAGCCGGAGAGTTGTACTTGTCGGGGGTGGGGGGGCGAGATTGCGAGCATGATCGCGCTTCGCGTCTCGCGAAGCTCGAAGTTGATTAGTTACGTGACCTGGGTTTGCCTGTCCCGAGGCCCGCCGCAATAAGAAGGCCATCCAGATGGATGACATCAACGACGCCACGGACCGAATCGTCGCGGGCCTGGAGGGTAGGGCCCTCGCGGACGACGCGCAGAAGAAGCTGTTCGCGTACCACGAGGCTGGCAAGGCGATTGTGGCCACCCTGCTGCCCCACCACGACCCCGTCGCCAAGATGACCCTGCTTCCCCGGGGTCAGAAGAAGAGCCTCACCTGGTTCTCCCCAGACCAAGACCAGAGCCTCATCTCCGCGGCATCCCTGAAGGCGCGCATCGCTGGCTTCCTCGGCGGCCGCGCGGCGGAGCAGATCGTGTTTGGCACCGAGCAGGTCACTACGAACGCCGCCGAGGACCTGAAGCGGGTCGATCAGGTCGCCCGCGCGATGGTCACCCAGGTCGGCATGTCGAGCGTCGGCCAAATCGCCATCGACCAGGGTGGGATGTTCGGTCCGAGCTACTCGGAGGACCTGGCCTCGAAGATCGACATGGCCATCAAGGAGCTGTCCGACGAGGGGTACCTCACGGCGCTCAAGATTATCGTCAACAACCGCGGCTGCCTCGACGAGCTCGCGGACGAGCTGTACGAGAAGGAGACCCTTGCCGCAGACGAGATCAAGGAGATCGTCTCGAAGTTCACGGAGATTCCCGAGAAGCTTGCCGCGGTGTGATCTGGCCATCGCAGTTTTAGTCCATTAGATCCATATTAGCCAGCGTGGACCCCAAACCGTACATTATTGCACAGTGTGAAAGCTATGCGGTGTAAGCCAGATGGTGAATTTTGTGTGGTGTGAGCTATGTTGTGTGAGTGATGAAGGTGAGAACTGTACCGTGTAAGCTAGGCGGTGTGAACTGGAGGTGAAAGCTATGGGTTGTAAGCTATGTGATGTAAGCTATTGTGAGCTATGTGGTGTAAGACAATGTGGTGACAGCTATGTCGTGTAAGCCCAGAGCACGGGGCGGCCTACGAGGCGGCACGGGCGGCAACGTGGCGAGAATCCGACATACCCCACAAGCGCAGGGTTCCCACCCGGCGCCCAAGAGGCACGGGTGGCAACGATGCGAAAACCGGGCATACCCCCCACGCGCGGGCCGCCCACGAGGCAGCACGGGCACGGGCGGCAACGTTGCAAAACAGCAAGACAGAGCCATCCAGTTGCTTTGGAAAGCCAGCTACGAAGCCCTAAGCTCAAACACTGCTTAGGGAATTTGTGATGGCGGCAACAAGTCGGAGCGTGGCGAATCCCCGGGACACCCATCCGATTCCTCAGAGACGCAAGCAGGAACCCCTGAGTGCAAGCAACGTTTGGGGCCTGTGATTGTCTGGTTTTCGGCCCTTCGAGAGTCCTCGCGGGCATCACTTTTCGCGCCGCCAGCTGCCACCACCAGCTGCCACCGCCGGCGAGCATCGAGCCTCTGGCAGCAGCGCGGGCCCGACTTCTCCCAGCTCGGCCGCCACACCCGCCGTACATACAGCGCCGCGCCCGCGCCACAAAACCCATGGAAAGCGACTGCGACGATGACATCGTTGCGGAGGCGGCGGCGGCACGGGCTCGCTATTCGGCGGCGAGCGAGTGGGAGAACTCGGAAGGAGAAGGCCTTTTCAGAAGGCGGCGGGACTTCTCAGAAGCCCTATCGGCGGGTGCCCCAATATTGGATATACCAAGGTTTCTTATCGCGTGTATCTACTGCATCGTTGGCGCCCCCCTGAGTGTGCCGATTGGTCCACCTTCTCATCCTTCTCATTCCATTCCACTTCACGTAGAAAAGCGCAAGACGGCACAAGCATGATTCACCGATCGGAGGGGCCCCCCTCCCCGCAACCCGAAAGTGCTGCGCGCGCCGGGGAAGGGGGGGAGGGGTATGGGGAGGGGGGTCTGGTGCCCACGCAAGAAATCCGCGTGGACCTCCGAACGATACCCGCGCCCTTCCCCCATCAGCCTCCAGAAAACACCAGACCAATCCAGAAGAGTTTCGAGCGCGGCGGGAGGTTTGCGAAGCTACACATGTCCGCCGTGATTTGTTTCAAGACGCTCAAGTGCCTCAACACGTCAGCCCCTGCATCTGTCCTGGGTCCTGCGCATCAGCCCCTGCATCCGAACTTCGAGGGAGATCCAGCCGCAGCGGCGAGCCGAGAGGCCCAAGAAGACCCAGAAACGTCCAGCGAACCTCGATCCTGGGTGCGAGAGAGAGGCGGAGTATGAGGAGGGATGTTAATGCTGGGGATGATGGGGGTGGGAGAAGGGTGACGATGTGATGATGGTGATGATGATGATGAGGAGGAGGATGCTGAGGATGATGCTGATGACGCTGATGATGATGCACGTGATGCTGATCATGATGATGGTAATGATGATGATGCCGATGGTCATGATGCTGATGTTGTTGATGATGATACTGATGATGCTGATGAGGATGATGATGATGATGATGGTGGTGCTGATGCTGATGCTGACGCTGATATATACCGACGATGCTGCACATTGATGATGGTGCCGCTGATGGTGTTGACGATGATGTCGACGATAATAATGATGTGGATGATGATTAGGATGATGATGATGAGTCTGATGATGACGACGACGATGCTGATACTGATGCTGATGCTGATGAGGATGATGCTGCTGTTGCTGATGATGCTGATGATGCTGCTGCTGATGATGATGCTAACGATGCTGCTGCTACTGCTGCTGCTGACGATTAGGACGCTGATGCTGATGCTGCTGCTGCTTATCAGGATGATGATGATGATGGCGATGACGATGGCGATGACAATGGCGATGGCGATGATGACGACGTTGATGATACTGGTGGTGATGATTGGTTTCGGGTGGCGATTACGATGCTGGTGCTCACTCTGATGTTGGTAATAGTGCTAATGCTTGTGATGATGCTGATGATGATGGTGACGACGATGAGGATGCTGATGCTGATGATGAAGATGATACTGTTGCACATGCTAATGAGTATGATGGTGACGATGATGATTCGGATGACGGCGGCGATGATGATGGTGTGGCTCAAACGGATGATGATGATGATGATGATGATGATGATGCTGCTGCTGCTGCCTGATGATCATGCTGGCAATCGCACTGCCACCGTCACTGACACTGGCACTGCTGACGACTATGTTTATGCTGTTGCTGGTGCGTTCGACGGTGATAACGACGATGCTGATGCTGATGCTGATGGTGCTGATGATGATGATTATGCTTATGATCGTGATGCAGCTGATGTTTACGACGATGCTTGTGATGCCGATGCCGACGGTGATGCGGATGCTGATGATGATGATGATGATGATGACGATGATGATGAAGATGATGATGATGATGATGCTGATGATGATGATGATGATGATAATGATGGCGATGCTGATGATGATGATTATGATGATGATGATGATGGTGATGGTGATGGTGATGGTGATGCTGACCATGATCATGCCGACGATAAAGATGATGCTGATGATGCTAATGATGATGGTGATGATGATCATGATGATGACGAGGCTGATGATGATGTTGTTGGGGATGAGGGTGGTTATGATGATGTTGATGGTGATAATAACGATGCTGCTGATGGTTATCATGATGATCATGATGATGATGATGATGCTGATGATGATGACGATGATGATGATGATGATGATGATGATGGTGATGAGGCTGCTTCTGCAGCCGCTGCCGCCGCCTACGACGGCGATGATGATGGATGATGGACGATGGATCAGGCTGATGGTGCGGTTGATGCTGATGCTGATGGTGATGATGATGGTGATGATGATTATGGTGATGATGATGATGATGATGATGATGATGATGATGATGATGATGCTGCTGCTGCTGCTGCAGGAGGAGGAGGAGGAGGAGGGGGAGGAGGAGGAGGAGGAGAGGGAGACGACGGAGGAGGATTCTGATTGTGGTGGTGGTGAATGATGATGTTGAGGGAAAGGTGCAGGATAAGAAGGAAGAGGGGGCGAAGGGGAGGTTGACGACGAGGAGGGGCAAGGGGATTCAGCATTTGTTGTGTTTTTTTCGGTTCGGCATCCAGAGACCTCCTTGGAGGATGTGGGGGGGTGGAGGAGGGGGAGACGCCGAAGGAGGCAGAGGAGGAGCGGGGCGAGGAGGATGAGACGGATGAGGAGGGGTAGGTACGAAAGAGCGCGTTGTGTGGACGCTGGGAAGGGGGAGGGTTCAAACTGAGTAGCCTCCCCCCCCCCCCCGAGATGCAAGGGAGGGGGGGGTTCGAACCAGGGGTGGGGCCCCCCACCCTGTTGCAAGAGGGGGGTGGTTCGAACTGGGGGTGGGGGAGGGGCTCCTTCTGTCGAGGGAGGGGGGGGGCTTCGACGACGACGACGACGACGACGATGATGGCGGTGGCGGCGGCGGCGGCGGCGGCGGCGACGGCGACGGCGTCGGCGACGGCGACGGCGACGGCGGTGGCGACGCCGACGGTGACGGCGACGGCGGTGGCGACGCCGACGGTGACGGCGACGGCGAAGTCAACAGCGACGGCGGCGGCAAATGCGACGGCGACGGCGACGGCGACGGCGAAGGCGTCAGCGACGACGGCGACGGCAACGGCGACGACGGCGACGGCGACGGGGACGACGACGACGTCGACGCGCACAAGGCCCCCCGCTCCCTGAGTTGCAAGGGGGGGATCGAATCAGCGAGTCGGGGGGACCCCCCCTACAACCGACGACGTCAAGCGCCGGCGCACGACAACGACGACGACGACGACGACGGCGACGGCGACGACGGCGGCGACGGCGACTGCGACGGCGACGGCGACGGCGACGGTGAAGGCGACGGCGACGGCGACGGCGACTTCGACGGCGCCGCCGGGCAGCGACGACGACGACGACGATGACGACGACGACGACGACGTCGCGACGACGACGACGATGGTGTTGGCGGCGGCGGCCGCCGAGGCGGCGGTGAAGACGGCGATGGGGACGGCGACGGCGACGGTGACAGCGGCTGCGACGGCGACGGTGACGGCGACGGCGAAGGCGACGGCGAAGGCGACGGCAATGGCGACGGCGACGACGACGACGGCGACGGCGACGACGATGGCGACGGCCACGGCGACGGCCACGGCGACGGCGATGGCGAGCGGCGACGACGACGACGACAACGACGAAGCGCACAGGGTGTGGGACGGGGGCACGGTTCGAACACCCCCCCTTGCAATTCAGGGGGGGGACCCCTTTCAGGTTCGCCCCCCTCACCCCCTGGGCAGAGGGGGGGAGGGCCCCTCCGGGTGTGTGTGTGTGTGTGTGTGTGTGTCTGTGTGTGTTCCCCTCCAGTTCGAACCCCCTTGGGCGGGCCCCGATTAAGGAGCGGGTGTCCAGGGGCGGGGACCCCCGGTTCTCCAGGGGTTCTCAATCTGTCACATAAGGTGCCCCCCGTTCCAACGTGTCAAAGTGTTTGATTTTCTAGGCAAGCGTCCACGAAACATGTTTTCTCGTAGGTAGGGTGGTCGAGCATTGTTGTTTGTCTAGTTGTTTGACCGTTGTTCCCCAATCCGTGTTTGCACTAAAGAGGTCCTAACGGATCTTGAAAGACTTGGCGAAAGTAGGCGGCCGATTTCGGAAGGCGGCCAGGTTCCTGGGTTCTTGATTCCAGGTTCCACGGTTCTGGGTTCCCCGGTTCCCGGTTCCGGGTTCCGCGGGCTGATTGCGGTGGGCGGCGGGGTTCTGGTGTTTTCGGGTTACCGGGTTCCTGGTCGATCTCCTTATCGAGCCTTCTCACCATCGATCTCATTACCAACCTCCCATCGATCTCATTACCGACCTCACGATCGATGCCACTCTCGATCTCACAGTCAATCTCACTAGAGATCGCACGAGCGATCTCACGTCGATCTCACGATCGATTTCACTGAATCGACTTCACCATTGCTTTCACGATCGACCTTACTATCGTCTTTACTATCGATCCCACTGTCGATCTCACGATCGATTTCATTACCGATCTCAATATCCGTATCACTAACTTTCACACCATCCATTGATCGGGTTCTTTCTGTGTTGTAATTTAAGTGTGCATATGCTTGTTTTTGTTTCGACCTCTGGAGACCGCACTGGACGATGGAGGAAGACGAAGAGGGGATAAGGACGATTAGCAATATGAGGATTATGATGATGATGCTGATGACGATGATGCTGCTGCTGCTGATGATGATGATGATGCTGATGATGATGATGATGGTGGTGATGATGATGATGGTGATGATGATGATGATAATGATGATGCTGATGCTGATGATGATGATGAGAATGATGATGATGATGATGATGATGATGATGATGATGATGATGATGATGATGCTGATGCTGATGATGATGATGATGATGATGATGATGATGATGATGATGATGATGATGATGATGATGATGATGATGATGATGATGATGATAATGATGATGGGCCAGATTGCAGAGGATCGGCGCTGTTTGTTTGGTTGTTGGTGTGTTTTTGGTGGCCGCCAGAGACCTTGTGGGAGGAAATGAGAGGGCGATCCTTTTTGAACAGTTTTGGACACCACAGCGTGCTAAACATGAGAGATGGGGAAAATAGAAACCCGACGACGGCGACAGGGGATACATGGCAGCGGTGGTAACCCCTCCGCGGGCCTGATAGTCCGTTAGGGTCAACGCCACTACACCCAGACTCGGCGCCACAGGCGGCCACCTACGATCGGAAACTCTGGCTTGGCGTGTCGCTCCGCCGGTTCTGGCTCACCACGCCTCGGCACGACACGCTATCCTTTTCCCAGTCCCCACGCTTCAAAGTCCCGAGCCTTCCTCAGCCTCCCGCCCCGCGGAGCGGAGCGAGACGCTATCCGCTCGCAAGGCATCGCGTTTCGCCGGGGCCGCCGCCGCCAAACGCTAAGCAGAAGTTCCCGACCGTAACCTGAGCGACGGAAGACAATTGCGCTCGTCTTGACGTCGGCGACTAAGCTGCCCGCGTAAGGCCGCGCGTGGGAGCACCCTCGTTTCCCATGTGGCGTGCCACGCTGGCGGCCCGAGTAAGCCGCGGCGTGAGGGCCTCATGGTCGGCTCCATGGCGCCGACCAGGAGGGGGGCCCTCGCCGCGGCCCGCCCACGCCAGCACCCAGGCCTGCGGCAGGGCGGGCGCCGCGGGCGGCACCAGGCCGCGGGGCGGATGCCCTTGCGGCGCGAGCCCCAGTGCCACACCGCTCTGCGGTCCTGCCAGAGTGCGCTCATTTTTGAGACGCAGCACGTGCCGTGTTTCAAGACGTCCGTGAAGACACGCTGCGTCTTGGCTCGGAACGTGCTGGCCCGCGTTTTGGCGAACGCGCCGCGCTCTCAATCCGCATGCCGAGCCCCGTGCCAACACGCCACGGGTTGCGACCTACGTATCGGGGCGGCTGAGTTGCGAGCAGGGCAGGCTCCCCATAAAGGGGAGGACGGCTGGCGGAAGCGCGCCCAGCAGTGCCACGGGGGCCACGGCGGCGGGCAGATGGCGTCCAGCAGCGGCCCTTGACGAGCACACCGAGGACGGGGCCGCCCTCGACGAGCTCGCCGAGGACAGGGCGGACACCGCCGCCCGCGGCGTCGGCCGAAGTGCGGGGAGCGCCGCCATGGCCCGCGCTTTTGGAGGAAGCCGACGGCTTCCGCCTGGCGAGCTTGAGCCAACATGGCCACGGAGGATAGTGGAGGAGGAAGTTGGTGAGAGGGGTGATGGTAATGATGAGGAGGATGATGATGAGGAGGATGAGGAGGATAAAACGGATGATGTTAGACGCCCATGAAGGGAGTCCAGGGGGGAGAGGGAAACACATTGGGGTGGGCTGCCCAGCCGACAGGGCACCCCATCCCCCACATAGGAAACGGATGAGCGGGGAGGCGAAGGGGAGGAAGAGGACGGGGAACATTGGCAGGGAACATTGGCAGGATGGTGAGGATAAGTGGGCACTCCAACGAGCACCAGTGGCACCAGTGACCCTTCATCACGGGCGAGAAAGCACTAAAGAGTTGCGGTTGGAACGGCAAGAGTCAGCATGAACGACAACATTCGGTACCGCGCGCGCCGGGGGGAGGAGAGGGAAGGGGGAGAATAAGGAAGGAAGAGGACGAGGGGAAAACAAGAGGGCAGGAATTAGGCTGCGCGCCAGACTCACCCCACTCTGGCCCAAAGGAAGCAGCAAGCCCCAACACACCGAAGTCCTACCGAGCGCAGCTCCAAACGGAGCGAGCCAAGCGAAAGATCACAATGACGGAAGGTGGTGGTTATTCATGGAGTGAGTCTGCTCTTGCGCGGGGGATGGGAACAACAATACTGTGAGGATAAAGTCGGAGGGGGATGAGGGGGAGCAGGAAGATGAGGAGAAGGCGGAGGAGGATGTGGAGGAAGCGGATGAGGAGGAGAGGGAGGACACGCAGTAGTAGATGGAGTTGGAGTGGTAAGAAGATGAGGCGAAAGGGGTCGGGGTAGGAGGATCAAGGATGTTGACGATGAGGATCGGCAGGCGGAAACGATTCTTCTGATGATGTGGATACTGATTATGTTTATGGTGAAAGCGAGGCGGCAGATGAGGAGTATGAGAAGGAACACCAGAAGGATGATGAGCAGGATGAGTCGGAGGAAGAGGACGAGAGGGAGATACAGAAGAACTCACCCTGGCACCTTCAAATCCTTTAGACTCGTCCGACCCCCCAAGGACCCTCTCATCTCAGAACTCCCTCATCTCTCCTCCCCCTCCTCCCGCCTCTCCCCCCCCACACCTTCTCTCTTCCCCGCCCCAGCATCCCCCCCCCCTTCACGTTTCCCCTCTGCGGCCAAGGCTGCACTCGTGTACCTGACGAACGACGGAGCGGGCAGCGACGGGGTGCTGTCGGCGCCCCTGCCGCTGATCGTGCAGACGTCGAACTCTTTCGAGCAGGCCGCTGTCATCCTCGCCCTCGCCTCCTCCTCCTCCTCCTCCTCCTCCTCCTCCTCCTCCTCCTCCTTCTCCTTCTCCTCATCATCATCCCTCTTCCTGTTTCCTCCTCCTCATGCCTCCCTCCTCTCTATTCGTGCCTCCTTTCTCCTCCCCCTACTCCTCAGCCCCCCCCTGCCTCCTGCCTCCCTCCTCCCTTCCTGGTCCTGCCTCTTATCTCTTTCAATTGAAGTCCGCGGACATTCGCCGTAACAGCTGGCACCAGTTACAAGGATTGAGGGGGAACCGCCGGTGGCCCATGTGCAATACACCACGTCGGTAGGGCCTTCCCAAAACAGTTTGTTATGGCCACTTTGAAAAGCTACTATACCTTACCTTGCCAGTGCTGCATACGTGTTCCTACTATTATGTGATTTCCTCCATCCCGACCTGTAAATGCAACCGGGTAATTTCGGTTGTGGACGCGCGATCGTGCGCTTGTGTTCTGGTTCATTTTGAATAAGTCGGAAGACTTTGCGGCGCTTGCCAGCGCGTTCCCCCTGTTGGAGCTCAGCGGCGGACGATGTGTCCAAGCGTTTGAGTCCAGTGGCGCGTTTGTTCTGGGCGTTGCGTTGCAGTTGTATCGATTGACCTGTCCCGTCACTCTGGTGTATACGTCTCTGGCCCGTCCGTGTGGTGTATGGAGCAATATGCCCTTTCCATCCTGGTGTATACTCATGCCTGTCCTGTTACGTCGTTTCTTGTTTCGGGTTGTTCTGCTAATTGTTTTGAGCGGGTATACACCTGTGCTGGGGTAAACACCAGTGCGTTTTGCCCAAATGGACGCGTCGTCCCAATGCCAGCTGAAAACGGCCCTGGGGACTTGTTGCGGGCGGCAACGAAAGTCCAGAGTGGGGAGAGAGCGGGATGGGGGAATCACGATTCCCTGAGGCTGCGACGTATTATGCGCCTGGGGATCCACGATGTCGAAATTCGTTTGCTAGCACGAAGTTCATTTGTCCAGGGCCGTCAGTTTGGAAAGGCCAACGCTGCGATTGCATGATAATGCTCGTGTATCGCTATCACATGTCATGTTTGTCAAATATCTGGGAACTGGAGTGGTGTGTTGCATGTGGGCTCACCAAGCCGTTTTCAATATGGAGCTCTTGGCTTAGCGCCACGCGCATTTGTCTAAAACACTTGCAACATGCACACGGGTAGAACCCCCTGACTTTCACATTTGAGCTCTCGCCTTAGCGCTGCGCGCATTCGTCCGAGAAGCTGCGATGGCGGTTCCTTTTCAAAATGTGGCTCTCGCCTTAGCGCTGTGGAAGGTGATCAATGGAGACGAGGCATGTTGCCAAATAATTTCCAGATGTCTTCTATATTGCTTTAAGCTGTATGTCTGAATTCATCAAACGCGTACACAACATCATATTCAATTTTGATGTGTATTTCGCATACCATCCGTCACGCTGTTGAGAATCCGCCGTGGTGGCTGGGAAATGTTCTGCGCGGTAGGATTTAACCTCTGTTGTGCAGGAGGGCGGGCGGCCGCCGCGGCAGGGTGCCGGCCGCATTTTTTCGTAGGAGGGAGTCCTATGGGGGAGTCCTATGGGGGAGTCCTTGCAGTACACTTGAGGGCTCCGCGGCCCACATCTCGCCAATGGACCTGGGCAGCGCGGAGCGGCGCAAGGTCGCCCAGGCCTGGCCGGCCGCACGCGAGGGGGCACGCGCCCCGGACTGTCCCTTTGGACAGCACCCTGGGGTGCCGCGCGCGGAGCCCTTGGGTCGTGGGGGCGGCCCCCGCCGGGCGTTCTCTCTGGGGCCGCGCCTCCACTGGGCGGGTCCTGGCGGTTAGTAAGTATATCGCTCACTGACAAGTTTGGTGGAATGTACATATTACAGAGTCATGATTTACTCATCCGGAGTAGATCCGCTTTAAGTAGTTCGCAAGCGCCCCGCAAGTTTAGGCTACATAGGTTATCCATGTGCGGCGGTCTGGGGCTTTCTTATCTGATTTTGCTTAGCCCCATCTGGGGTTCAAAGTAGGCTAGTATGATGGTTATATGTACTTACTATGACGTTTGCAAGTGGGGTATCTATGCTTACTTATGCTGATTAGCTAGCCAGGTTCGCCAGGTTGGAGTTTGCGACCACGACGCCGCTGCCGCGGCCGCCGCCGCCGCTGACGACGACGACGACGGCGACCGACGACGAGGACGAGGACGATGAAGACGACGATGACGAGGACGAGGACGAGGACGAATGACGACGCCGACGACGACGATGAACGCGACGACGACGACGACCGACGACGGCGACGACCGACGACGACCAGGACGAGAATGAGGACGACCGACGACAACGACAACGACGAGGACGACGAGGACGAGGGCGACGACGTGGACGAGGACGACCGACAACGACAAGGGCAACGCCGCCGACCACGACGACGAGGACGAGGCCGAGAACGACGATGATGACGACGAAGGCGAGGGCGAGGGCGAGGGTAAGGGCGCGACGACGTGGATGAGGGTGACCGACGACGACGACGAAGATGGCGACGACGATGACGACGACGGCGACGACGACGATTGCGAGGGCGAGGGCGAGGGCGAAGGCGACCGATGACGACGACGAGGACGATGACGACGACCAGGACGACGACGATGACGAGTGACGACGATGATGATGACGACGATGACGAGCACGTCGATCACGACGACGACAACGACGACGACGTTGACGGCGACGACATCGATGACGACGACGACGATGACCGACGACCGAAGACCGACGACCGACGACAACGACGACGATGACGACGACCGACGACGACGACGACGATGACCCCCGCCGTGGCCCGCGCCGCCCGAGGCCCCCGCCCTCGCCGCTGCGCCGACCAGAGCCGCGGTGGCCGCCAGGCTCGTGGCGGCGCTGGACGGCCAGGCCTGGCTCGCGGCCCCTGGCTCGGCGGCCTCGGGCCGGCGGCTGGTGAGCCGCCGCAGATCAGTGGAGGAAAAGGTGCCACTACCGTTGGAGTTGCTCGTTTTTGTAATTTGAGCCTCCTGTCGCTGACCCAGGGTGTGGTTTACGATCGGCGCCGTTGGGGCTTAGGGGTCCCTACGTTGCGCCAAATGTTTGGAGAGATCTGGTCCCGGGACCCCCAGAGGGAGATGGTATTCTGACCCGGGCCCCCCCACCCCACCCCCCCTCCACTCCCCTCCCACCACCTCCCGGGACCCCACCCCCTTCCGGGGAAGGGATCAAAGGGAATGGGCTTCCCTTCGACTCAATTACGACGTTGCTCAATCTGAGGTGGGAGACGGCGACGGTTCGAGGTGGGAGACGGCGACGGCGGTAAGGCGTCGGCGACGACAACGGAGAGGGGAGCAGCGAGGGGGACAACAACCATGGCGAACAACACCGGGGCGGGAGCAGCGAGGGAGGCAACAACCACGACGAACAGCCCATTCCACACGCCGACAGGGTCGGCGGATTTCGGATGGACGATGGGGCAGAATCGTATGTAAATTGCAATACGAAATAGGGGGTCGATAATCCTTGGGGGGGGGGGCGGGCAGAGTCTATTTCTAGAACGGAGAACCCATTTAGTACAGTATATATATATATATATATATATATATGTATTTGTTCTGCAATCTACGTGGAGCCATCTACGTGGGGCAATCTAGTATGTGGTACAATATTTCGGTCCATGGTGTGCAACCAATGTGGTGCCACATGTGTGGTGCAATCAATTGGGGCAATCAATGTCGTACTACCTATTCTGTGCGCGATATCTGTTGTGCAACATTTGTCGAGCAATCAACGTCGTGCAACCTATGTTCTGAAACAGATGTGCTGCAGTCCATGCGGTGCAGTCGCTGTTGTACAATCTATGTGCATCAATCTATGTGGCGCATTCAATTCGTCACCGCTTCGTCGAGGCGCCGGGGCGGCGACGGGGCGGCGACGGCGGAAACGTAGCCGCCTGACCGGCAGGCAGGCCCAGACGACGGGCGGCGACGAGGCGGCGGCGACGGTGGCAACACAGCTGCCAGATCGGCAGGCAGGCCCAGACGACGGGCGGCGACGAGGCGGTGAGTGCGGCAACGCAGCCGCCAGACCAGCAGACAGGCCCAGTTCCTTAGAGCAGAAGTAAGAATCCCAAAGTGCAATCACTGTTTAGGGAAAAAGGGATGGAGGAGGAACAGTAGGAGGAAGAGGAGGAGGATGAGGATGTATTGATCTGTGTGTTTGTGTGTGCCTCGCTGGGTCTCCGTGCTTCTGCCCCCATTTTGCGACCAAAGATCCTCGAGTGGTCGGTCAGACCCCCCTGCCGCCCGCGAGGTGCCCGAGGGGCCTCCGTTCGGCTGGCGTCCTCTCGTGGGCCTCATTCTGCAGAGCACTCAGGGAGGACATGTGGTTCCTACGGCTGCTCACAGGAGCTGTGACGGTGGAGTGGAGGCTGCCAGCCCGTGCCACGTCGAGGGTGCAGGGGCAAGCGGGCCACGGGTGTTGCAGTATGGCGATCGCGCTTCGCGGCGGCCTGCCGGTCGGTGGACGGACCTGCTCGATTCGAGCAGAATCCAGTGTCTTTGTTGCACAGCGCGGGACAGCCCGCGCTGAGTGTGCTGCCAAAGGCCTGTGGCACAGACAGCCTCTCTGAAGGCGGTCTACGTTCAGGAACTTTGGCTTAGCGTGTCGCGCCGCCGGTTCTGGCGCACCACGCTTCGGCGCGACACGCTGACCACTTCCTGGTCCCCAGGTATTACCGTCCTCAACTCTTCCCAGCACTCCGCGGAGCGGAGCGACACACTATCCGCTCGCAGTGCATAGCGTGTCGCCAGCCCGCCGCCGCGACACTCTAAGCAAAAGTTCCCGACTGTGCCCAGATTATTGGACACTCGTTTTTTTGTCGGTCGCGATCGGTAGCGACCGATCGACCATCCAAATTGGTCGCGACCGATCTTGAAGCCACGTTGACGCGACCGATCTTGGAATTTGAAGCAATTTCGGTAGCGACCGATTTCGTCGGTCGCGACCAGAAGAATCTGGCATCAGACAATCAGGGTAGGCTGACCCCCCTGGTGTAGTCTGGGGTGCTCTCACTCAGGGCGCCGGAGACGGGGTCACAGAAGAAAGGCACAGGATTTCCACGGCTACGCCCCTGTTTAGTGGGCCCTGGGCTCCGCAGAACGCAGGCATAGCACACGGGGGCAAATGGAAAAGCCTAAGCCCCAGTTTAGAAATGCCGCCCCGCCGTTTAGGGGGCTCTGGCTCACCCCCGCAGGCCCTGGTACGGAGCGCCCAAGGGGGCGCCGCAAGGGGCGGTGCGGGGGGGGGTCGAACGAGTCGGGCCAGCCTGGGGGCCCGCTGCGGCCAGCCTGGGCCGCCTCTGAGGGGTTGTCCCACGAGTGGAAAAAAGTACACCGCGCTAAGCTCAGACATGCTCGCGCCCTGAACTTGCAGGACGGAGGGTCTTCGTAGTTTTCGGCCTCTGGGGGCCATCGCTGGGCCTGCCAGGACCTTAAGAGAACGACTCGGGGTGAAAAGCCGGTCCTGGGGGAAGAGTCGGGATTTCGGGGTACCCTGGAGTGAAAATCAAGGGATCGCATGTCCTGGAGGTGTTAGCGCCACCCATGCGCGCGCGCAGAGCTCAGGCCCGAGCCCTTCCCTGAGATCCTGGAGTTGCGGTTTTTCCACACAAGGCGATTGCGCCCTCTTGAGGGCCCCAGGGCCCTCGAGGATCGATGCGGCTCGAAGAGTGTCACAGGAAAGGCGGAGTCCAGAGGGTTCAGTCCGCGATGTTTCACACGGTTGCGATTTTTCGTGACGTCGGATCTCAGAGTTTGCCTGTGCATGGGTTGGACCCGTGCATGGATGCAACTCCTGGGTGCTTACATCCACCATCGGCGCTGGAATATTCGTGGTCGACAACGGCCCCAAACTGTCAACATCCAGTTACATTCCGCTTACTTCCATTCTATTTGGCTTCATCCCTGGCTTACTCTGGGCTTCTGTCTGTGGCTCGTTCTTTTTTCAATTCAGCTTCATAGCCCGTATGTTACCCCCACCCTGATCATTGGATGCCCGGTTTTTCTGGTCGCGACCTCGAGATCGGTCGCTATCAATCTTGTTTCAAGTTCCAGACGCGACCGATTTGTTTCGAAATTGGTCGCGACCGATTTTGGAATTGGTCGCGATCGGTCGCGTCCAATTTTGATGGTCGATCGGTCGCTACCGATCGTGACCGACAAACATGTGGCATCCAATGATCAAATGACCTGGGCACGGCCGGGAACTTGCTTAGCGTGTCGCGGCGGCGGGCCCGGCGACACGCTATGCATTGCGAGAGGATAGCGTGAGGTTGGGAAGAGTTCAGGACGGTGACGCCTGGGGACTGGGAAGTGGTCAGCGTGTCATGCCGAAGTGTGGTGGGCCAGAACGGCGGCGCGGCAGGCTAAGCCAAAGTTCCTAACCGTAGACCGCCTTCTGGGGGGGTGTCTGTGCCCCAGGCCTTGGCAGCACAATCAGCGCGGGCTGTCCCGCGCAGCGCTGTCCCTGCTCCGACCGAGAAGTCGTTCGACCGACCAGTAGGTCGCCGCGGAGCGCGATCGCCATGAAACCACACCCATGGCCCGATCCCCCCTGCCTCCTCGATGTGGCACGGGCCGGCAGCCTCCTCTCCACCGTCAGTGTCCAAGGCCTTGGCAGCAAGATTTGGTTTGCAGTGGTCTGGGCAAGGGTTGCTTCCTAAGGTTGGGTCTGGGTGGCGGGCTGGCATCTCCCCTCGATCGGGGTGTGGCCGTGGGCGCGACGCGCCTGCTGAGGTCCTGAACGCCAGCGACGTGGCGTCGGTGGCCGGCGTCAAGACCGGCGCTGGCGCCGCCTGCCAGGACGCCATGTCCCATCGGGGGCGCACGTTCCCTCCCAGACATGCTCGCGATGTGAAGACAGACCCGACGGGAGGTTTTTGCCCATTCCTGTCCTCTGGGGGCCCTCGCTGGGCCCCGGGACAGTCGAGAATTATTCCGACGATGGAACCCCACATGAGAATATGTTTACCTTGCCCTTAGCCCTTTCCTCCTCGCCCTGCCGGACACCTTCCTCTCGCCCTCTGCTCTGCCCTCTCCTCCTCTTCCTCCTTCTATCTTTCCTCCTCCTTCTCCTTCTCCTTCTCCTCCTCCGCCTCCTTTTCCACCTCCTCCTCCTCTTCATCATCACCATCTTCCTACCCCTTCCCCCCTCCTCCTCCTCCTCCTCCTCCTCCTCCTCCTCCTCCTGCCTCTTCTGCATGTGTGCCTCCCCTTCCCCCTGGTCGGGACAAGTAAGTCGATTTTCCTCGGCGCCGTCGCCGCCTCGGCCAGCACGCGCGCGTTCGCCGACGGCTAGATCGCGAAGCCTTTGGGACAATCCCGCGGGCCACGCCTTTGTGACAACCCCGCGGGCCGCTGGGGCGCGGGGGTGGGTCGTCGGGACAAACCCGCGGGCCAGGCCGTTGGGACAACCACGCGGGCCTCGAGGTAGGCGCGGCCGCGCTCAGGCGGGGGGCAGCGCGAAGCCCAGCCGCGCTGCGAGCTGCTCCGCCTCGGTTATGGAGCTCTCCGCTGTCTCGCCGAACTTCCGGAGCGCCTTCCGCACGACCGCCGGCGGCCCGCGCTCCAGAAAATCTCGCGTGGGCGGCCGCAGGATCAGCATGTTCCGCATGCGCGTGGCGCTGGAGCACATGACACAGAGGTGCAGCCACCACTGCTCGTCCGACATGCCTGCGCGGCCAGCGTCCTCATCCCTGGCGCAGTCGATGGTGATGCCATCGCCGCGTCGGGGGACTGAAGTCCGCCGTGCGAGTGGCCCTCTTAAGAGCACAAGAGAACCCCCGCCCGGATTGGCCCGCGAGGGCTCGCATCCACCTTCCGTTCGTGACGAGCCCGACAGTAACGACGGCCACGAGATCCCGAGGGTTCGCTTGGATTCTAACATGAAGCTGCGGGCCCCATGGCGAGGGGCTCTCGTTCGATATTTCTTCGCGACTCACTCACAGACGAGGCTCCCGCCTGAGACTTCCTCAAGATTCAAGCCTGGTTGGGGAATCCAAAATTGGCGACAGGTTTGGGTTTCGCATGCCCCGCTCGGATTGCAAATGTGCAGCGCGGGCAACATAGGGAGGGGGCTCCCGCTTGAGACTTCCTTGCAGTTCACTCACAGGTGAGGTTCCCGCCTGAGGCTTTTTAACAGTCCAGGCGTGAGTGGCCCAAGCGCGACGACAGCTACAGGATTTGGATGACCCGCCCCGATTGCCAACATGAGATGCGGGCTCCATGAGAATGGGGCTGCCGTTTGAGACTTCTTCGCAATTCTAGACGCTACGCGTAGGGGAGCTGACGGAAGAAAGGAAGAAGAGACGCACATAGTGAAACCGAGCGGGCAACAACGGTGAATTGGGATTTTTTTGTGGTGAGGGTTGCATGTGTTGCTGCTGGTGTTTTTGCTCCTGCTGATAATGTTTCTGCTGTTGTTGCTGCTGGTGTTGCTGGTCCTCGACCAGCGAATGCCCAGGCGAACGGAAGTGATAAGGGAAGTGAGGGAGCACACAGAGTAACCAAGGGCGGGGGAACCTGTCTTATCCAAGACGGCGAGGATGGAGGAGGAATCGGATGATGATGATGATGAGGAGGAGGAGGAGGAGATGGAGGAGGGGGAGGAGGAGAAGTGAGAGCAGGATGGCCAGAGGTTTCTTGAATGCTTGTCGGAGTCTCTTCGGATGTATCTTGGGAGCTTGTTGGAGGCCTCGCGGGGCATCGCGTGGGCCTCTTGGCGGCTCCGGGGGGCTTTTGGAGCGCTTCGGGGATTCCTTGAGGCCTTTGGGAGACAGCCGAACCGAGCGAAGGAAGGATGAGGAGAATGATGACGCTGAATGGATGGACGGATGGATGGATGAGGGAGTGGGGAGAAAGATGATGAGTAGGATGAGGAAGAGGAGGAGGAGGAGGAGGAGGAGGGGGAGGAGGAGGAGGAGGAGGAGGAGGAGGAGGAGAAGGAGGATTCGATTCGATTCGATTCGAAAGCACTTGGGGCGGATCCACCAATCTGATGTCTTCCGCACGCCCGTCCAGCGTGCCTGCAATATGGAGGCTGAAGCAGCAGCATCCAAAGAAGCAACCGTGCAACAGCATAAAATTTCGAGCCCTGTGCGGCGAAACTCGCCAACCTCTCAGTTCCTTCGGATCGTGACCCTGCGGCGGTCACATAACCGCTAGGCCGCGGGGAACGCTTCGGCGGGGAAGGCCCCGCAGCGATCCCGCTGGCACTAGCAGCACTCTCAGGATTGCTTGCCCTTCCCTCCGTCCCCCCGCTCACGACGACGACGGCTCCCCCCCTTCCCCTTCTCAGTCGAGAGTGCCACTAAAAAATTTTGGCTGGATGGCGCGGCCTGCGTCACCAGGCCTCTCTCGAGCAGCTCCCTAAAACGCACACTGTCTCTGAATGGCACCGGCACACTCATTAGCCTCGACGCTGCAGCATGTTTGTGATCTGCCTCTCCAGCGGGCCCTTCGGAGCGGATCCGACGAGCTGCGTTGCCTTCAGGTCCGTCAAAGCCGCCTCTAGGAACACGTTCACTGCGGAGCTGAGCGGGTTTGGCCCCAGTGCGAACTGCATCCTGACCTTGCCCTCCATCTTCTTTGATCCTGGCCCACGCGGCGCCCGCACAGTGAAGTGGCGTATCATCGAGCCCATGTACTGCGGTGACTTCTCCTTCAGGTGCAGGTTGAACTACTCCTCGGCTTTCTGCTGGATCTCCTCTGGCGCCATCTTCATGAGCGCCCTGGTCGTCATGAAGAACACGGTGATGAATGGCGGCCCTGGCGTCGACAGATCCACATCCTCTCCCGCCGCCTTTCGGTCGTGTAGAGCCTTGACCATGTCCGCGTAGAACTTGTTGGCGGCCAGTCCTGCTTTGGCTAGGTACGACTCCGCGGGGATGAGGTAAGTCGACAGCACCACGAACGAGAGCAGCGCCTGCTCGCGAGCGGTGGCGAGGGAAAGCATGGCGACCTTTGTCACGAGGCTGTCCTCGCCCTTGCCCTTGCCCTTCAGCTCTTTCTGACTTTGCTGCTCGCCGTCGGTTGCACCTTCGGCCTTCCGCTTCGGCGCCAGTTGAACTCCCGCCCATGGTGGAGCCGAGTCCTCGCCGAACATCTCCGTGTCCACATCTATGAGGAGGGGCATACTGCAGGTGCAGCCGAGCGTGTTGGTTGTATTCACGAAGACAGTGATGTTCTGAGCCACAAACTCTACAGACCAACGCATCTGGGACCACGAGCTCTGTTATCGTCGATGCTTTGTTTCGAAGACATCGTCCATGCAGTAGGGCCCCCTCCAGCTGTTGGCATGCCGTGAGGCGCTCACCGAAGACTTCCTCACATACTATACATTGATTCGTTATCGTGAGAGCATGCGAGAGTTTAACACTGTTATGTACAATGCGTACATGGTTTGCTAGTCCAGACCTACCTCTAAAGGTGGCTCCACAGGGGCCATATTCGTCCTCCCAGGGGCACGTGTGCAAGCGCTCGGTGAGAAGGGCTCCAGCTTCCTCGGCCTCGGGGGCCACCGACGAATCTCCAGGAGGCTGGGGTCCAAAGGAGCCTGGGGAGATCTGCACACTGAGGGCGGCTCCTCTGAGGATATTCATATCAACTCGGCGGAAGCGCGCAGCGAATTCTGGCTCGAACAATCTTTTTACCCGACCTTGACAATCGGCCCAGAGGTCAGCTGCCTCTTCAGACACCAGCACAAGCTGCTCGATGTCTGCCTGGACTCTCAAAGCCCAGGGGTTAGCATCAGGTCTAATTGAAGTTTGTTCGCCAAACACATCCTCTCCAAGGAAAACGCCAAACCACGCAGCTATCAGCTGTCTGTGGGACTCGGGGAACGAGCAAATACCTTGAAACCATTTAAGCCGTCGAACTCTGAGTTCAACGCAGAGCGGAATGATTTTCCAGTATTCCAGAACCTGCTGGGATGTCAGCGGACGAACGTGGTGCGCATCTTCCCAGCTGGATGTTCCTCTCATCGCTCTGCGGCACAGGCCAGCCACTGAGAGCTCCAGCTTGCGAAGTTGGCCTGAGCTTGGAATGAAACACTCAACCGCCGAAAGGGCGGAGTTAACTACATGACATAACAGGACACAGCGTTTCCATTTATACGGAATGTTAGGTGCCTGCCAGAAACGCCCGAGTCTAAATTATCCCAGTGCGACCCTACCTAGGAGTTGGAGCCTCTAGGAAAGCAACAGTAGCAGCAGCAATAGTGGATGCTGTGCTATGCTATGCTCTGCTCTGCTATGGTATGCTATGCTATGCTATGCTATGCTATGCTATGCTGCGCAATGCTATGCTGGGCTCGGCTAGGCTAGGCTAGGGTATGCTATGCTATACAATGCTATGCTATGCTGCGCTGTGCTATGCTAAGCAATGCTATGCTATGCTATGTCATGCTATGCTATGCTATGCTATGTTGCGCTATGCTATCATATGATATGCTATGCTATGCTATGCTATACTATGCTATGCTATGCTATGATGTGCTAATGCTGCGCTGTGCTATGCTGCGCTGCGCTAAGCTAAGGAACGCTAAGCTATGCTAAGCTAAGCTAAGCTAGGCTAGGCTAAGCTAAGCTAAGCTAAACTACACCAAACTAAGCTAAGCTACGCTAAGCTAAGCTAAGCTAAGCCAAGCTAAGCTAAGCTAAGCCAAGCTAAGCTAAGCTAAGCTAAGCCAAGCTAGGCTAGGCAACGCTAAACTAAGCTAATATGAGCTGAGCTAAGCTAAGCTAAGCTAGGCTAAGCTAAGCTTAGCTAGGCTAAGCTGGGTGAACCCAGGGGGCGCGACTGGGGGAACCGCGGGGCGGGGACTGGGGGAACCGCCCGGGGCGCTTTCCACTGCCCGGCCCCTTTAAGCTAGAGAGTAAGAACCCTTCTAGGCAGAGCCTAGGTAGGGAAATATGCCGTCTTAGCGGCCTGGATCCGTTTTCCGAGTTCATTCTGAAAAGACTGGGTGGAGGTCAGCCGAGGTCCCAGATATCTCACGGCCTCTCCGCAGCTACACTCCATGTTGCGCAGCATGCTAGCTACTCTACGCTTGGCTGAGGGCGGGGCCGAAAAAAAAGCCTCTTGCTTCTTGGGGTTACGTTTGAGGCCGATCTTCGCCAGCTCAGCGTCAAGCAACTCATCATTCTTCTGCACAGTCCATCTAACCAGGTCCAGGGAGAAGCGCGGGCCGAGGACCAGCTTTTTCAAAAGATCGTCGGCGAATTTAGTAAGTCCCAGATAGACCTTGGGCGGTTGTAAAAAATCACATTGTGCTTCTAAATCACGCCCCTGGGGATCCTGTTCGCGACACTTCGAGACCCAACGATCGACAGGAGGGCGAAACACGTGGACGAACGACTCCACAGCGAAAGGATCCCCTTGGAGCATTCCGCACCCCGTTTTCAGCAGGAGGTCCCCGCCTTCCGCTGGGATGCTGGTGCAGGCCTGCTTATACCGCTGGTGGCAGAACCGTGTCTCCCTCCCCATGGCCATGTCATAAACGGCCTCATCTACAGCTGGTCACGCTGGGGAGGCAAAGGCATTGCTTAATTCTTTAAGTGGGTCAGTCCAGTATATACCTGCCTTGTTCAGTCGCCAAGAAGTGCAAAGATTGGCGGCGATCGCATCTTCTCTCCTCCTACGGCGCAAAAAACCGTGGTCCAACTCCGAGTGTTGGTACGACGGTCTTCGTTTCATTATTCGTTTCAGGAAGGCTTTGCCGAGCGGGTCCAGTCCGTGCACAACCCGTCGCCCAGCAGGGCCAGGCAATGCGCTCTTCTGAAGAGCAAACCCCTGACTGCAAGACCACAAACTCGGGAGAAAACCAGACTGTCTGATTAGAAAAAAATGCGATGCAGCCAGCTTCTAACTTGTTCGCCAGACACCTCGGGAAGTTTCGAGCCAAGTCCAGCACAGTGACGAGGATCATCCTCGGGAGGCTCACCAACCTCCAAACACCACAACTCCACAGGCAAGGACCACCTAGGAACCCCCTTTCTTTTAGAAGCTGATTTTACATACGCTTGAAACGACGCAATATCTCCTATGGCATCCTTATGAGATTGATCAGCGCGCTCCTGCCGAAACAACGGCGGGGCAGGAGGTCGCCGAAATCGTTCCATTTCCCGCACCAGGTCCCCCCGCTCCAACCTCGAAGCCAACATGCCCCCTTCCCCTCCAGTCTTGGACCAGGCCTCCAGCCATTCGTCCTTGGTCGGGAGCGCACCCTGCAGGCGTGAGAAGTCACGCTTGCCGCTGCCGAAACGGCCGCCAGCAAGTCGCAAGCTCAGGCGATGGACCTCGGCCAAATTGCGCCGTCTCCATGCCTCGTATATCTCCTCAATCAGTGCCTCCTGCTTTCGGTCGTATGCCCGCTTGCGCTGCTTGTGGCATTTCTGAGTGATGGCCTTCAGCGCAGTGGTGCACTCCTCGAGCTCCGATGGACCACATTCGTGCAACTGTGCTCGTAGCTCGCGCCTCTGCGCAAGTAGCCGAAGACGCTCCTGCTTGTCGGTGTCGACGTGGTCCTTGGCTTCACGGTCGAAACTATGTTTTCCCACCTCTCGCATCGCAGTATCCAAGGTCTTGAGAAGCTCCTCAGGCGTGTCGTCGGCGCGTGTGTCGAGGTTCAGCTCCGATAACTTTGACTCTACAGCAACCACAAAATCATATCGCTCACGAGTGCCTCGACGAGCGGCCATTAACTCATCTTTGTCCCACTTCACTTCCTCATATTCTGCTCCATCTGGGGCTCGCCAGGCCTGAGTCATCTCGTCATCTATGTCTATGTTGAGTTCGATCCGAGCGTGCACGGGGAGGTGATCTCGATGCCCAGCGACAGGTATGTGTTGTAGCTTAGTGCCCATTCGTTTCAACGGTCCGTGAGATCGAACTTTAGCTGCTACCGATAGTGGTACAATGACATGATCAATCATGCTTTTGTTTCCATGCGCATCGTAGACGGTGTGTGCAACACTCTGGAACGAGGTGGTGGAAACCAAACCGTGTTCTTCCATAAGCTCGCGAAGTCTATGCCCAGCTCCGCACACATGTCGTTCTTGTGTGACTCCAATTCCTATCGCCTGCTCCCCGATGTTCCTCCACTGACCGTCCTGCTTAGAGATGCCCATTCCATCGTTCACGTCTGTCATGATGAACGGAATGGCTGAGTGCGGGGCTTTGCCGATCGATATGGATGCCCATCTCGTCAGTTTCTCACAACACGATAGGTAATTAGGTATAGCTTTTCTGTCCAACGGCTTTGGTGGATAATACAGCGACATCGCATAGTAAGACATGCCTCTGAATCTGAAGTACACTCCCACACCCCTTCCCTGCAATTGAGTCGGTGGCGTGTCTATTCGTCGTATACATTTCTGCGGCCACCTTGGTGGCAACATGAACGTGCACCCTGCACTTTTGTTGCTAAATCTACAGTGCATCCAGCCCGCCGCAACTGCAACTCTGTCCATTATTCGTGTGATGCGATAAGACTTTCCCATGAACGCCTTGCAGCATGTTCCCTGCAGTCCAATCATCCCAAAGTTGCTGGCCTCTGCGGCTATATCCTCCCGCCGCGCATTCGATCCATATAGGCAATTGAAAGGCATACTAGCAAGTGTATACATCCGCTGCTAGCCAGCAGCCACGTGGTAATGAGAGTAAGTGCCGTACAAGTAAGTGTGCCACCTCGGATCGCGCGCGCGCAAGAGAGGGAGCAACAACGGCGGCGCTAGGAGAAGGAGGAGGAGGAGGAGGACGAGGAGGAGGATGAGGAGGAGGAAGGGGAAGAGGAGGAGGAGGAGGAGGAGGAGGAGGAGGAGGAGGGAAAGGCGGAGGAGGAGGAGGCGGAAGAGAATGCGGAGAAGAATAATGAGGAGGACGAGAACCAGCAGAATAGCCAGAAGCATCTTGAATGTCTTTCGGATGACTCTCGGAAGCCTTGGATGCCTCTTGGGGCGGCTTGGGGGTATCTTGGCGATCCAGGGGGGCTCTTGGGCGTCTTGCGCGCCTCGGGGGGGGGAGCCTCTTTGGGCCGCTTGGGTCCTCTTGGGGGCCTCTTGGGAGCCTCCTGGGGCCATCTTGGAGGCCTCTTGGGGCCTCCTGGGCGCCTCTTGGGGCCATCTTGGAGGAGATCGACCAAAGAAGAGGGTGGTGGCAAGTATCGTCCCCCCTCGGGAGCCTCTAAAGTCGCCTCTTGGACCCCTCTTGGAGCGC